ACACCACACTCAGGGTCAGTGTGACCCAGGGCCAGTTAACACCACACTCAGGGTCAGTATGACCCAGGGCCAGTTAACACCACACTCAGGGTCAGAACCCAGTGGACAGGCTCTCTTTCCCCAATACTATGCTGCCTTCTGCCCACCGTGAAGAGGTTGGATGAACGTACTGGTATACAATGAGCTGTCATCATCTTCGTCCTCTTCCTCTTCCTCCTCTTCTCTTGTGTACAGGCAAGAAGAGTCTTCATAGTCTGATTCATGAGGCACATTTTCTTTATTGTCATCACATTCAATCACAACAGTTGGCACTTGTCTTATTTCGGGAAGGCCCATAGGTCCTGCTTTTGTGACACCGTCACCCGAGTGCAAACCAGAGCTGTGGTAAGAAGTGGAACAGGGGACCCGCTGCTCAGAGCTGTTTAAAGAGAAGGAGGAGACAGGAAATTCATTTTGGCTAACATGTCATAGAAATGCACTGGCACCGTTTTAAAACTCAGTTGTCCAGCCCTAAGAAACAAAGGGTACACCGGGCAATTGAAATCCCATTGCTCATCTTACAGTTAATCATTTTAGGATGGCAGAGTCTCCTGATGGTGGCAGTGGCATGGAACAGGAAATAAGAATTGTAATTCTCTGTGAATGGGCGGTGGTGATGGTTGCACAACAATGTGAACGTACTTAATGCCACTGAACTGTACGTTTTAAAATGGTTAAGATGGTAAATTTTATGTTATGTGTATTTACTATAATATTAAAAAATTTTTAAAGAGCAGGGGTAAAGGATTAATTTGATAGTGGAGCAAGAGATCCAGGAAGGAAAGATAATAACTGAGGTTCCAGTTTCCACAAGCTGTACAGGGTGACTGACAGGAATTGAGTGTGGGAGAGACTGCTTGAAACGTCCCAGGTGGAGACGCAGAGAAAGGCAGCGGGGGATGAGCAGAAGGCTGGAGACTCATGCATGACACTGTCAGGGATGACCTAGAGAAAGTTCTCTCCCACGGACGGTGACAGATCCTCAACAGGGAGCCACAGGTAACACCAGTCTGGTTTTTCCGTAAGGTCAGTTTGCTAAGAAGCAATGATGATAATATTTTTGGTTCTATCTCTTAAGTTGAGCCAACTTTCATCAAATATATTTAATGTTTTCAAAAGCTATACGAGTTCATTGTTGGAAAATTAGAAAATACATGTCATCAAAAATAAAGAAAATAGTTATTTTCTTAATAGTGTCTAAGGATCATACAGCAACTTAGAATCCTTTGTATGACAGGCTGTGCATAAAGTCCAGCAAGAATGAGAATTCGGAGCCAGAAACACATAGTTAAATTTTGTAATTCTTTTTCAGATTAACTGGAAGTGGAATTTATATCTTTCATTTAAGGAATTTCTAAACACAGGAGACTCAATGCATTTTACATCCAAAAGTGTCTGACACTCACAAGGACGTGGAGCACGAGGTTATGTTACAGATCGGTAAGATTTGCATTTCAGTATTTTGTCCAAGACAAATCTTACTTATGACATACAAATGCATGAGTCTCCTTTGAAGCTTTCAATTATGCTTTAAATTATTGCTATGTCTAAGTTAAATTCAATTAACTTTCTTCCTTCCACTGTTTCCCAAGAGCTGCTTTTCTCTTTGCATTTTCCACATAACTCTTCAGTGACATGTGGAAAATCTAGTTAACACATTATGAGCTATAACGTTTGAGGCAATGAACTAAACCGACTTACAAAAAAAACCTTCAACTACTGAATAAGAATTAAATCACATATTTACAAAAATGCAGCATCTTAGGCAGTTTAAGTGGGCCCATTTCCCACCTAATTTAATACAAATGGCAATGGGAGCAGGGCAGTGAAATACATGACAGACGGTCCCAACGTGACAATTATAACATGTGACTGGAAGACTGATTGACGGGGAACTTCTTGCCACCCTGTGAGGTGGCCCTTCCATCGGGCACCAGCGGTGACTGCATTCCAGCAGTGCCTGGATTTCCACACTGGGTACTGAAGGAAATGGGAATGGAAGAGGAAAAACGTAATCCATGGCGTGTGTTCCGCCCCAATCCTGCCTTTCCCTCTCTCCGCTTTACAGTTTAATAGCAGTGGTTCCCAAGAAGGCACAGGGCTCGGGATACTGCAGCTGGGAGCCGGGATGCAAAGCAGCCCAGAGATATTCTTATCTGGTGGGAAGAATCTTTTGAGGAAAGAAAAAAAAAAGCTGGAGACCAGAAAGCATGAGTTCCTTAAGGTAGAAGGCTCCAAACTTCAGTATACTAGACTGTCATGTAGAAGATTTGCTCAAAGTAAAGGCCTTCATTGCAAAGGAAAGGTGAAAACTATTAGCCCTGCAAGCAGTAGTTAAAACATAGTATGAGGTGCTTACCACACTCTGTACCACATGGCCCACATAATTAACCCAGCCTCATTTCCCCTTCCTCACCTCTACGTCCAAATAGCTACCCCTGGTTGAACTATGCGTTCAACACTCTTGGGCCTGGAACATGCACCCATCGCATCTTCAACCCATTCATTCCTATTTATCTTGTAAGACTTGTCTCAGGCAACGCCTTGAATACTCTTCACGGGAGAGAATTCGAATGTGAAGATTGTGACCATCTGTTTGCGTACTGTTTTCCCCTTTCCACCCACGCTGTGAGCTCCTGGGAAGGCAGGAGCCATGACTCGTGTTTGTGTCTGGTGCCGGTACCATGCCTGATGCAAAGTGGACATAGTCATTGTTTACTGTTTTAGCTGAAGGAAAGAAATATGAGCTGGGATGACCGCTACTTAGATAGATGCATTTGTAAGTGGTTGACAAACAATATTCAAAGGCATTTTAATTAAGAAACTGTTTCAAATTTAATTTTCAGGGAGGCATCTGGTGGTGTACTGCAGGGATGTGGTGCCCCAGACTCCGCTGGCACGGTTATCGATGGCTTAGGTAATGACAGAGAGGACATCCTCATGGAGTACATGGAAGAACCAAGGTAGAGAAGGAGAGGAGGGAGAGTGAAAAAAGGGAACATTTACTGTAAATGTCACTCACCGTTCTAGAACTTTCACATTTAGTATATTACTTCACCTGTATAACAACCCTACAGGACAGGTACTATTCCCCTTATTTTATGAAACAGGAAATTGAGGCTCTGAGAGGGTAGTTTGCGGGCCCACAACCCGTTAAAGGAAGGAGTTGGAATTTGAGCCCACTTCTGTAATCCAAAAGTTGAACCGTGATACTTAACAAGATTGCATACTTTGATGTGTTTACATATTTGTGTTTACACAAACCCTACTAAGATTGTATACTCTGATTAAATACAAACCCTACTAACTATACCATGCAAAATGGAGGAAAGATCATGCCTTGTTAACAACATGAGTAAAAAATGGGCATCGTTACTTTACAGCTGTTTTCGATCTTACTAACTGAGGTAAGTAATAGTGCTCTGCCCTGGCATGATCAGGCCACTCCTGGGCACTGAGTTTAAAGCAGCGGTCCCCAACCCTTTTGGCACCAGGGACCGGTTTCATGGAACATTTATTTTTCCCCCCCGCTGGACGCGGGTTGGGGGTATGGGAGGGAGGTGGAGCTCAGGTGGTGATGCAAGCGATGGGGACCAGCTGTAAATACTGATGAAGCTTCCTTGCTCCCCTGCTTCTCAGCTCCTGCTGTGTGCCCCCTCTGTCCCTGTTCCTTGTTCCTGAGTTCATGGAAGACAATTTTTCCATGGACAGAGGTGGGGTGGAGTGGGGATGGCACAGCTCTGCAGCCCAGTCCCTAACAGGCCATGGACTGGTACCAGTCTGTAGCCTTGGGGTTGGGGACCACATGTTTAAAGGATTCATCTTAGACACAGGGTTCAGAATTGTCAGGGTGGTGAGGGGACCCATCTGTTTACCCATTGTCATGGCTGCTTTGGGACCAAAATGGTAGAGCAGAATAGTTGCAACAGAGCTTAAAATACTCACTACTATCCAGTTCTTTACAGAAAAAGTTTTCTGAGCCCTGATCTAAACCAATGTTTCCTAAACCTCGATCATACTCACACCTAAATTTTTTGTGTATGCCATCTTTGAAGTCCATTCACTATTATTTACTTTGTATTTTTAAGTCAATACAGTAGTTTTTAAAAAACTTCAACACTATTGTAGCCTCATCTTAAGCAAATATTTTCGTAACCATAGGTTATATATGGTAATTATATGTTTATAACATGTTAAAATAAATACATATTTTTATATTTATAATCTACATGTTAATATTGACACATATGTATGACATTTAATAAAATGTTGAAATTTATAAAAGGTTGTTCTAAGCTTATTTTATGTACCACTAATTATGTAAATAACACATTTTGGTTAAATGTTGGCCTAGCAGACTAGGCTTTTTTTTCAACCTGGGCATGACGGACATTTTGGGCCAGACAATTCTTTGCTTTGGGCACTGTCCTGTGCATTGTAGTGTGTTTAGCAGCACTCCTGGCCTTTAACCTCTAGATGCTAGTAGCACTTCCTCCAAATCTCCATATGTTGCCAAATGTCCTCTGGGGGACAAAACTGTCCCAGACAGGGGAAACACTGGCCTACAGCACCCACAGTGGCTTTGCTACATGCTGCATTCTCAGAGTTGTACCACATGAGTCTCTTTAAAAAGCCACTTAGATATTGATCATCAGGAATTTGCAGTATTCACCGGATGATGGAGAACTGTCCATATCTTATCACGCAAGTTCCTGATTTACTGTCCCTCAGGCTGGCATTCTGGGGGCTGTTTCAACACTGTGATGCTCTCGGGGTTCCACTCAGCTATTTGCATCCCTGAGCCAGTAAGCCTTAACGCAAGAGCTCCAAAGTGGCTCTCGAGTGAATCAGCTTTTCTCATTATGTTGCCCAGATCAGTGATTTACTCAATGACACTCTAGTGGCCTGAAGGAGTCACCACATCTTCCCAAGTACCTGTCAAATTCCCTGAGGAACAGCTGAGTCATGTAATAAAATCTATTCTGGACCATTCACGTCAAAACTCTTTGGCATTAAGCATTTAGTTTGCTCTGAATTCAAATGGACTTCATTACCCATGGGTTGTGTTCACCGTTCCTCTTCCCGCTGGCTGACTAGCTTCTAAAACCACAGCGAAACATAAAGCATCTCATCCTAACCCGCTAGTTAGAGGCTTTGTTAATTCTTACTGGGTAATTGCAGATAATGATGATGAAAGTTAACATTTTTTTTAACACCCACACTATACCATTTATTGATCCATTTAAGCCTCACAACGACCCTAGAAGACAGGTACATTTTGGCCCCCAAATTTTAGAGAGGAAAACACGAAGGCACATGATCGAGGCCACACAGCCAGAGGGGTGCAGGTATTATTGAACTCTGTCAGACTACAGGACC